ATTCAGGTTCGGCTCAAGAGTCAATTCTTTAAAGAAGGTATCCGACTGTGTGAGTTTTCTCGAAGAAATATGGTGAAAAAAGTGTGATAAAAGTGCAGTTTTTACGCGCTAAAAAATTCATAACTTGAAGATCGTGACTCATTTTGAACCCGTTTCGGTGGCCAAAATTCCGTCTTGAAATTATCTACGTTTTCATCTCTCACGACTGGAAGCCAATTTCGATCAGAAGGTCTTCAAAAATGTGGATTTATCAAGTATTTTCGTACAGAAAATTTGTGACAGAAGTTTATTTGTGTCATGTTCAGAAAATCATAACTTGATCGATTTTCATCGTATCGAGCTGGTTCCGGCGCCAAAATTTCACAAATTGAGTTGGCTACATTTTCACAGAAGGTATTGAGTTCAAATGGTATTCAAAAGGCCTTCTATTTTTGCTCAGAGCGTATGACACGCCGAAAATCCTGAATGCTGAATATTATTTCATCTGGGCCGAAACTTCAAAAATTCATAACTCGGTCAATTTTTATCGGATTGGGCTCATATTTTTACACAAGGTCACTGACTCAGAGATCTACAACTTTTCTTCAAAAGTCGAGACCAAATTATGCACCGATCAATACCAGTTTTTTATTGAAGAACGTGTCAGAGTCGACACTGGAGCCAAAAATAAGTTTGTCTGAGCTGAAACTTCAAAAATTCATAACTAATTCACCGTTTATCCGATTGAGCCGATTTCCGGACAGGAGTTAGTTATCGATATCGGCTACATTTTGTTTTCACATTTCAACTTCAAAAATTGCACTTAATTCCCTGCGATTTAGCCTGGAAAGTGACGAACTCAAGTGAACATTGGAGGCCCAATTGCACATTCAAAGCCCATTTTCTTTACCCTAATTTCCATTATATAATCACCTTCTTTTCACACAAACCAGAGGAGAAAAAAGAGAAAAAAAACTTTGTCACAACACTGTTAGAATATCAAATTCTTTCAAGAACCCTAAAACCTTGAAATCCTTATTACAAATCCCTCTCTCACTACAAACAAGTCATCCCAGTTACAAACCAACATCTCACTACAAACAAGCCATCTCAGTTACAAACCAACACCTCACTACTTCTCCAGTAAGGGTAAGGCTGGCTTGATCTTCATGATCAAAAGGGCATAAAAGCATTCATGTCACTAATTTTCCAGTAAGGGTAAGATTGATTTGATCTCCATGATCAAAAGGGTATAATCATTCATACATGCCGTATTGTGCCTAAACATTAAATTTCTTCATATATTGGCTTTATTTACATTTTATGATTTTATTTAATGTGTTCATGAGATTCAACACTGCAGATTTAGACAGGATCCCTTGCAGGTTCATTAAGGAACGTTGAGGCCAAAACACAAATGACCAAAAGCCAAAAGTCAAATGGCTAAAACAGAACAGTTTACACATGACACCAATACATGGCGAGGCAGACATCCTGAAAAGGTTATGGAACATTGAGGCCAGAACACAAATGGCCAAAAGCCAAAACACAAATGGCCAAAACAAAATAGTTTACACATGACGCCAACAACTGTTTCACCCCTCCAATCAGACTCGTATACTCCTAAACTCTCTCTATTTTTATTATTTTCCTTTAATTAATTAATCGTTATTCTTTTTATTAATCACTAACCAATTAACATTTTTTCCTAATAAAATCAAAAACACAAAAAATATTTTATTTATTAAAATTAATTTCATCACTTTTATTTTTGTAAATAAATTAATTTAATCAATTTAACTTTAATTAGATTTAACTTTTAATATTTTTTGCAATATTTAAAATCAATTTAGAATATTAGATTTTTATTAGCATTAATTCAATTTATTTTATTTCTTTAAAAAAACTCAAAAACCCAAAAATATTTTCATTATTTAATTTAATTTAATTGTTCATTTAATTTAATTCCATTTAATTCAAAAATAACCAAAAAAATCACTTTCTTTCAAAAAAGGGTCAAAACCCCAAAAAAAACTCGCATCCGATTTAATTTCCCGCATGCGATCCATTTTTCCATATTATTGTACTTGCTTCCGGAATATAATAACTTTAATTAGGACTTTATTTATTTATTGCTTTATTTTACTTTCCGCAATTTAAATTAAAGGGTTTGTTTTTGGCGATGTAAATACCCGACGCCTTGTAATAGTTTAGATTTAATTTCCGCAATTTACTTTCTGCAATTATTAACTGCTATGCATGACAAGACTTGTTCTCAAAATAAAATCAAAACGTAGCTCACCATATAAATGTGCAAAGATAATCTAAACATGAAACTTGACACACATGCACATGCCACTCCTAGGGTACGCCTCACTTGGTTGCCTCGAGGTGGTCATTAAGTATAGGGTGTTTTAGAGGTCGCCCTCCTGTCTAAAGATCCAGTTGCCTCGAAACGGTTGCCTCGGATAAAAAGGATCTAGGACATTAGGGTTACCGCTAAGGCGTCCTACTATTGCTTTGGTGACCACATTGTCCCGATAATCGAATTGACCCGAATAACTCCAACGACGGTGCTACCTACTTCTCAATAGTGGGATAGTACTGTTTAAAGGACTCTTACACAGCCTAATTCCTTAGAGTAGGTAGATTTCTCCTGGGTACTTGCTCTTTCAAAAAACAAAAACACTTTTCGCACCTACACTTTCAAAAAGTTTTCAAACAAATACTTCATACACTTTTGAGGACTGATACAAGAGTTACCTTGAAGTTTTTCAAACGAAACTTTTTCAAAACCCACAAACACTTGAAAAGCAAACCATTTTTGAAAACATAGTGAGCAAGTACCTAAGAGCCCGTGGATAACCACGGATAGAAAGGGTGCTAACACATTCCCTTTCTATAATCTACCTCTCGAACCGAGAAACATCTCGAAAAGGAATTTTGCTGTGCTTTTGTCCTTTCCTTGTTGGAGAACATAAAAGACGGTGGCGACTCTTGCTTACCGCGACATTTCGCGAACCAGCATTCTAAAACAGTCAGTTCTATTTCCACCGATCACACCATGGAAAACCATGGATGAAAAGGGTGCTAGCACCTTCCCTTTTCATAATCTACCCCCCGAACCCAAAAACAATCTCAAAGGCCTTTCTTGTGCTTTTTTACCTTTCCTTTTGGATAAAATAAAAGTCGGTGGCGACTCTTGCTAAACCGTAACATTTGCAAACACAAACGCAAAACCTCAAGTCAGTTCTCCCACCGCATCACAATATACATAGAAATTATATTGAAAAATATGAGTATATAATCTAGTACACTTCACACACATGTATAAAATTGATTATCTACCGTGAGTTTGCATGGTTGTGTAATATCGTTACAAATAACAAATAAATATAATATAATGATGGTTAAGAAATATATAAAAAAATATACAAATTAAATTGTGTTGACCCGTCAAAAATGTATATTTTAATAGTTTAAGATATTCCCTAATAGAATAATAATGGGAATAAAAAATAGAAAAAACAAAATTTAAATAAAAACAAAGAATGGACCTAAAGGATGTTGTAAGGCCCATCAGAAACCTTAATTATTAAAGAAGGAAAAGGGTAAAGAGAAAAAACATTAAATCAATTACTGAATGACCAATTAAAAGCAAGATATGTAGAATAAACCACACGATACCTCCCTCTGTCTGCCACACTTCCATTTTCTCATCTCTCTGTTCACCGTTGATTCCTTCTCTTTTCATCTTTCTCTCCTTGTTCTCAAACTCGCTCTCTCACTCTCTATTCTTTCCAAATCTCATGAAAGCAAACAACAACAATCTCGCTTTCATTCTCACAGTTCCTTATCTTGTTTTCACAGTTCCGATTTCATTTACATAACCTCAAAATTCCGATTCAAACTCTTTATCTCTCGTAAGTTGCTTATTATGGTTCTGTTTTAGTAATCATCTCTTTATTTCGACTCTGTTCGGTTACAAAGTTTCTACAAATTTGATTTCAGTTTTCACAAGAAAAATAACAATCAGTCAACACAACCACACCTGGATTCGTAGCTTGAACAAGACAAAGTCTAGAAAATAAATTAAAAATTCTTCGCATATACTTCTATTCTTTGGTCTCGAATAAAAAATGTTCATAAAAACTCTCTAATAGCACGAATTAATTTGTTTAATGCTTTGTTTTTAATCTTCTACAATCTATAATATAAGAAACATATATGTCAGAAAAAAAACATTTATGCCGGTCAGTTTAATCATATTTATTTTATTTTATTTTTATTTTTCTATTAATCATTATTACGCTTGCAAATTGTCTATATTGTCCTTGAAATTAAACCTCTAATTAAATTTTTCAAAGAGTATCAAAATAATTTTGGTAGTATATTATTTTATTATATTAATAATAGATAGATTACTTAGACACATGGCAAGATTTAGACCGTTAGATGAATCCAACGAACAGGGTTGATCCAAACGAATGTTCCCTTTCCCTCTAAAAGGTATCAAATCTTGTTCCGCCGTTTTAGGGAATTAGGGTTTGAGAAATCAGTTTGAGCTTGCGTTCGCCAGATTATTATTAATAACATCTACAATTTTTTTCCTTTATTTTTTAATTCACGGACATTTTTATTTATTATTTTGGATACAAAATTTTGAGCAAATGTTATTCAGGTCTTAGTTACAGTAGTTGATTTCTAGTTGTGCATTTATTTTATTTTTTTTATAGATATTTTGCTCCTCCTAATGTCTCTGCACTCTTTTTTTTATAAAACTTCATTTTTTAAGAAAATGTAATGCTCTTAGAATTTGAATTATTGAGATTTAGAATCGGATTTAATTGAATATTGCTGTATTAATTTCAATAATTCAAATTCTTTATGTACTCTTCTTGAAAATTAATCCATTTCTTGCATTTGTAGCTATTAGCTAGACAATATATGATTATTAAGTAGTTGAACTATTTCAATTCTCTAACGTCTTGTGAATCTTTATTTATGCAGCATTTGTTTTGATGGAAAATCTCAAAACAGAGGTAGAAGACACCTCGCTTGTACCAGACACGGCAAAATCTACTGCTTTCTTAGATGCATGCAACATTCTTAAATGTAGTAATGAGGTTTCTGCAACAATTGAAGAGCTTAGTAAAACTGTTGGTGCTGATATACAACCAATTCTAACAAGGTCTATCTTACAAGTCAATTGTGTAAAGTTAAGTTAGGCCCAACTTAAATTCTAAGTGGCTATCAAGGTCTATCTTTGATCGGTTGAGTCATGCTTCAAATGTTCAGTCCTGAGTATGAGGGGTGTATTAACTGTTCTACATTAGATGAGAGGGTATCCTCCCGCTTATAAATTAATTTATTCTTATGGAGTTTAGTGATGCTATTGCTATCATCTGCACAGCTGTTTTTAATATTTTTATTTACGTTTTGTATACAGTTCGTCGCCACCTTCCAAAAGAAAGAAGCAGAAAGTTGGAAGCAAAGAATAAAAGATTTTGTCCCGGGAGGACCTGAAGTTTATCCTCCTTATTTTAGTGTCTTTGCTTGTGTTGTGAAAACACTGATTTTGAGTTTCTCTATTGGCTAATTGGCTAATATACACATGCAGTAACTTTTATATTTGCTTAGCATTAAAGATTTTGCGCAAAGATTGTATAGATGCAAGAAAAAACCAGTACAGAAAATGAAATGAAATTTTGCAATGTTTCAATGAATTTTTTTTAGAATAACTTTCTATTTTTATGACCGTTTATTTTTCTATTTGCATGATATAGAAATAGTTGGGAGTAAATATGTTGATTGAATTTAGAAAATTGTTGTTTGCAAGAATGTATAGTAAATATGAGAAATGGGTGTGACTTCTGTATGTATGGAATGGAGTAACAATGTTGATTGAATTTAGGGTTCGATTATGTGATAGGGAAATGCTGTTTTTTTTTTGTCTGTAACTCTTCTGTCCCAAGAGAGAAAAAATGGTTCATGGAATTCGAAGTTTGGACCCGATAAACTCATATTTCTCTAGGAAAAAACTTAAATACATTTTTTTAAGTGTAATTTTTACTATTTTCCAATAAAAATATACCAAGTGTATAATTTTCTTATACATATGCAATTTTTTTTCTATTTTCACTCTTTAAATGATATTTGAGTGTACTTGTCATATTTTCATTAGAAAATGGTAAAAACCATTCTTAAATAATTCTATTTAAGTTTTGTCTTTTTTTATATATAAAGTTTACCCTTTCTCTAGTCTCATATATTCGAAAAAATGAAGTTAAAAAATTCCTCGAAATTTCAATAGGATAAAAGTTCCACTTTCAAATTTCTATTGGAAGTTAACATCTTCAATATACAAACACAGAACTCATGAATTTGGCCATGCTTACGATTTGAATTCAAATAAGAAATTTGGCCTTTTTTAATAGTTCAGGTTTTCCTTTTTTAAAAAAAATATAAAATTCTTATGTTTTCCTTATGATATGTAACAATGAAGAACAAGTTCTCTTAAGCGAAGATTATACTAAAGCATTTAAAAGTGATTAAAAGTTTGACACTGGAAAAACATGGTTGATACGAGCTAGAGGTTGATTTTTGAATCGATCCATAATGTCTGTTTTTGCCTAAAATCCTTCTTTTTCATGTTCTAAACCTCATTTTGATATGGTCTTGGACATTAATCAAGTGATCATAGGCTCAGATTTCATTTATAATTGGCTCAGGACAAGGTGATCTAAGTGCAAAAATAAATTAAATCATAAAAAAAGTACTAGTATGTAAGTGGAAGTTTGACTTATGGATTATTAATGATTTGTATAGAAAAAGTGATACTCCCCCGTTCTACAATGAATGACTCAACTCACTATTTCACACATATTAAGAAAAGTGTAGAAAAGTAAGAGAGAAAATAATATTTTTACTATAGTATCCTTAATCATGTATTGGAAATGACGAAAGTTTAATTAATTAGAGGGTGAAATTGAAAAAAATGTATTGGAAATTGAAATGGATCATTTATTTTGAGACACTATTTTATTCCAAATAGATCACTCATAATGGGACGAAGGGAGTACTAAGAAGACTTATGCAACATTTAATATAATATAGGGATTGAAGAAGATAATGGAATATCATTCGTAGGATGACATTCGATATATTGAAGTAAATGTGTGGAGACGTTTCATGCGACTATGGATTACAATCATGAACTTCTGACAATCCAATTAAAGGATATGTGTGTTATCTTGGCAACCTAATTGGAGGATATGTGCACTCTTCCAACGTTTTCGACATAGGAGTATGTTGACTTATTTTGATATTTCCAGTGACAAATATGTTGACTTATCCATGAAAGGGCACGCCAATTTATCTCAATGATTCTGTCATACATATATGTCTACTTATCCCATGACTTAACTATAGGGCATGTTGACTTGACTCTGAGTAGCCACTTCCAGTAGGGGAATATGTTGATTTATTCCTCTACTCAAATTGGTGGTTATGATGATTTATTATGCGATTAGATCAATTCACTAGTACTAGATTCTCAATCTTTGAATGCATTATGGGAGTTGACCTTGAATGGATGTGGTTATTTTGATCACATTGTATAACTCTAAAGATATGTTTGGACATACTCAGGGTTGAAGTCTCATGAGTTATAAATGAACAATCAATTATTTGTACTTCACATGTGATAGTTGAGTACTAACCTGTATTATTCATGGCCTATGAGTTATAAGGGATGATTGCACTCACGATTTTATACTGAGTTGTAGGGATTTATGCACGACTCAAATCTTGTGAGTGGTAGTAGGATAGACAATCCAAAGGCTATGCTCGTGGGATAGACCTTGGAGGGTCGGGACCCAGGTGGATTACCAGGATTCATATGGTTATTGAGGTCTCTTTAGATTCTATATAGGATGAGTGGGTCATGATGCATATGATTCACTTAGACAACATGACCTCAGATTGTGTAGTGCCACAACATTTCTATAGATCTTAGAATAAAGATTTATTCTAGTAGTTGATTTTGGGATATATGAGTTATCCTGATGGATTATGCAATTGTACCTTGAACCAGGTAGAAGGATAATGAGAGATTTAGTGGTTTAGATCAGGAATTCACCGAGATTAATATCTCATCACATATTGTTCTATTATTTTTCAGATAAGCAGGTGCTTGGATTTGATTGACAATTGAGGACTTGACACTAAAGATCTGTTGGATCATATTTCCGTTGTGCCGAAGATTTATGTCTGATAGATGGTGTATTAGTTAGATTTTGTAAAAAATTTATTTGGTCCAATTCCAGATTTGATATGTAGTGTATCAAGTATCATAATTTAATATTGTAATTATTGTTCTAGACATGTAATTATAGTGTTACATATTTGGTATCAGAGCAGGTTGGTTCATGACCTAGCCATGGATAATTATTGTCAAGTAAATGACGATGTTCTAGAAAATCTCTTATAGGTTCTTACTATCATTCCATAAGTATTCATTCTTACCTGCTTATTTTCATGTGTGAAAGGAAGGATCATGTAGTCGAGAACCAGGTAGGAAGTAATGGGATTGAGAAGATCCAATAAAGTTTAAGAGATGGAAACTTTGAACCTCGATAGAGGTGACATTATCACTAGATTAAATGTCAAGATGGAAAAAAATAAAAAAGACAATAGAATTTGTTCTGGATTGGTCCAACAACTAGAACTGGCCCAATCCGTTCCTACCTCCAGCATGGCCCAACAAGCGTTGGCCCAATAACTATGGCCCTAGATCGGGCAAGTCTGGTCGACTGTTCTGTGGGACTGCGAGACCAACAACACCGAAATCGTGCTCCCGCCCATAACGACAACCTAATCCCCGATCTGCTCACTACACATCAAGCAGACAATACGACTAGCGCTCACAATGCGTCTGCCCATCATCTCACCATTGCCTGATGCAACAGCTAGTTAAAGGCACGACTGTCTGTTTTGACCAAGTCCTGACAGTTACATATTTTTGCGGACCCAAATATCTAGGCCCAAAAATAGTAACAAATGGCTACGCGCCAGTGACATTATATAAACCCTCACACTTGTGAGGGCCAGGTATCCAATGTTCATACCTTAAACCCTAAAATCTTGCTTGTATCTCTTTACACCCATTCTTACTTGATCGTCAAAGTGCCTTACAAGTACAACCCCTCTTTCTCCTCAACTTTCCATCAAACCAGACGCCATCCTTCGATCCACTTTCAATTTCTGATCACAGGTACAATTAATGGCACCGTCTGTGGAAAACTTCTTTCCCGTCTTCCTTTTCTCTCAAAACTGAAGACCAAAGATACCTTCACTACTTCAATCATGGTCGACCATGATGACCATCACCTCTCTGGAAAGATTGTACTCTTTCTCGTTCATAAAACCGACGAAATCCAGGAGCATCCTCACCTCGAGGATGACATCGACGTCAGAGATGGACAGACTGCATCCCCAAATTTAGTCAATGCCGATCGTGAGAATATCCATTTCTTAAACTAGTAGAGGCCCAAGAACCTATCCGAGGAGCTTCTAGAGATCCTGCAACCAGTTATTATTCCTCAGAATGCTGATCCGGCCATGGTAGCAGTGCTCGATACCCTCAACCAAACCAATGCCCTAATCATGCAGCAAAGCAAGAGGATTGTGGCTTGAGAGAAGAGGCGGTCTAAGTCTCCTCCTCGAAGACACCAACGACGCAACTCTCCAAGCCTTTCTCTACCAAGGCATGGTCGTCTAACCAGAAGGGAGAAACAAGACATTTTTTCCCTCGAGAAACATGATCGCATACCTCCCCGAAGGGATCAAGGCTCTCAATCTTTCAAGAAGACAAAGAGTGACTGTTAACTTGACCGCAACCGATCACCTTCGCCTAAGCCAAGACAACAACAAAGAGGTACATCTCCCCACCGGAACAACAGACCCCGACGAGGAAGGGACAACCATTCCTTGTCGCCATCTCCCAAGGGAAGCGATGTTGACGAGCCACAAGGCCCGTTATCAAGAGAGATCACATAAGCCACGCTCCCAGTCGTCCTTGAGAAACCTCCCCCGTTGGGAACATACGACAATACAACTGATCCTGATGAGCACATAGAAAATATCAACGCCATGCTTGACTATTGAGGCATTAGGGGCACCATCAAGTGCAGGCTATTCCCAACTACCCTGAGGAAAGGTGCCATGTCTTGGTACAAAAGTCTTCCTGACGAATCCATCACTTCTTGGAAGTAGTTGGGAAAGATGTTCTCAAGGAACTTCATGGAATCTCTTCGACATCCTAATTCGGAATAATCTTTGGAGGCGATCATCCAAGTCCAGCACTTTTCCTCCGTCGAACATCCTCAAATGAACGAGCATGCTGAGGCTGCTGTTAAGTGTCAAATTTTGGTTAATTTCCATATCATTTATTGACACTTTTAAGATCTTTTGTGTGCTTTTGATTTCAAAAATGACTTAT